CCCCCCCCCCCCCCGCATCCCTCCCAGAGGGTACCGTGGGTCACGGCGACCCATTCACGAGATGTTACCTACCTCGCCTGGTTTACAGGATGTTGTAGGTTCGATCTCGACCCTGACGCCTGCTGTATAATTGGGGTTTGCTGTCTCTCTCCTCATTGTCGCATACATTTTTCTCTGGGTTCTCCGGTTTCCCCCCTTCACATTTTGAATCAACATAACCACGCGTTTAGAGTATTTCCTCATGATGAGCCACTTCATTGCACTATCAGTCGTGGCCAAGTCGCTTCTGAAAAAAAGCTATATAGCTCAGTGGGCCTTACCTGATTAAAAACAATTGTTTAGTTTAGCTTTAAACAGGACCGCCGACTCCGTATGTCTTCACAGTTGTTCCGTACGACTCTCTGACGTGTTTACGAGTCGTAGCGTGTGCTGGGAGCTTATTCAGCTAAACTGAACATCAGAGAGCTATGTGTAAATCACGTGCAATGAAGGGTCATTTTCTAGAACGTCATCCATTATAGTCTTCCTCGTAAGGCCACGGTGATACTGACGGCTGTGAATGGGTTTGTTGCGTAAATCTGGTTGACACGCAAAATCCGATTCGGTGGATTTCTCGGCCAAGAATCTTTTGAAAGTCCTGACGCTTGTCTTTCCATCTCTCCATGGCCTCTTGCCTCTCTCGTCTCCTTCCATGTCCCATCTCGTCCTCTGAATTCCCAATGTTCTCCGTCTCTCTCTCTCTCTGTCCCTCCTTCTCCCTGCGCCCAATCCCGTTTACGATCTTTTTTCCTCCTTGCACCCCTCCACTGAAATCAACTTCCACTCTACATTGAGCAGCCTCCTTCATTCACCTCATTCCATTCCTCTCTTAAAGCCTCACCTCTTCTGTTGCCCATTCTCTTCCTCTTCCCTCCCCACACCCCTCCACTCCTTCCCATCCCTCCCCTGCCCTTTGGTGATCCCTAAGTACCCCTCTATCCCGGTCACCCATTCCTCCATCCTTGCACACCCCTGGAATCTAAATCGTTCTCCCGTCGCCGTTGTGTTAAACGGCGTCAAACGCGTCGAGTGAAAGGGTCTCTACAAATATAAAATAAGGTCATGATCACGCGAATGTGGAATTTCCACCTATGACTCGATACACACGTGGCCCTTTGCGTGGGTGCATTTCAGATTGGTCGTCACTCTGAGCAGAGTGCCTAACGCGTTGCCTGAATACGTAACGTGCTAAAACAATGAGTGCCCGTGATTATGACGACGATGATAATGGCGGTGGCACTGCATTAATGATGATGACTAGATCGAGGTGTGAATGGTGATAAGCGATGCCAAATCTCAATGAAATTAACGGCGGCATCATGATGGCAGGAAGTGTCTTTCAGGGTTATTGGATATTACACAGAGAGGTGACTACGACAGCCCATTGCCACTGTGTGTTATGTCTGGTAAGCATCTAATACCACAGCCCATTAACACTGTGTCTATGTCTGGTAAGCGTCTAATACCACAGCCCATTAACACTGTGTCTATGTCTGGTAAGGGTCTAATACCACAGCCCATTAACACTGTGTCTATGTCTGGTAAGGGTCTAATACCACAGCCCATTAACACTGTGTCTATGTCTGCTAAGCGTCTAATACCACAGCCCATTAACACTGTGTCTATGTCCGGTAGGCGTCTAATACCACAGCCCATTAACACTGTGTCTATGTCTGGTAAGCGTCTAATACCACATCCCATTAACACTGTGTATATGTCTGGTAAGCGTCTAATACCACAGCCCATTAACACTGTGTCTATGTCTGGTAGGCGTCTAATACCACAGCCCATTAACACTGTCTATGTCTGCTAAGCGTCTAATACCACAGCCCATTAACACTGTGTCTATGTCTGCTAAGCGTCTAATACCACAGCCCATTAACACTGTGTCTATGTCTGGTAGGCGTCTAATACCACAGCCCATTAACACTGTGTCTATGTCTGGTAGGCATCTAATACCACAGCCCATTAACACTGTCTCTGTCTGGTAAGCGTCTAATACCACAGCCCATTGCCACTGTGTCTATGTCTGGTAGGCGTCTAATACCACAGCCCATTAACACAGTCTATGTCTGTAAGCGTCTAATACCACAGCCCATTAACACTGTGTCTATGTCTGGTAGGCGTCTAATACCACAGCCCATTAACACTGTGTCTATGTCTGGTAGGCGTCTAATACCACAACCCATTAACACTGTGTCTATGTCTGGTAAGGGTCTAATACCACAGCCCATTAACACTGTGTCTATGTCTGGTAAGGGTCTAATACCACAGCCCATTAACACTGTGTCTATGTCTGCTAAGCGTCTAATACCACAGCCCATTAACACTGTGTCTATGTCCGGTAGGCGTCTAATACCACAGCCCATTAACACTGTGTCTATGTCTGGTAAGCGTCTAATACCACAGCCCATTAACACTGTGAATATGTCTGGTAAGCGTCTAATACCACAGCCCATTAACACTGTGTCTATGTCTGGTAGGCGTCTAATACCACAGCCCATTAACACTGTCTATGTCTGCTAAGCGTCTAATACCACAGCCCATTAACACTGTGTCTATGTCTGCTAAGCGTATAATACCACAGCCCATTAACACTGTGTCTATGTCTGGTAGGCGTCTAATACCACAGCCCATTAACACTGTGTCTATGTCTGGTAGGCATCTAATACCACAGCCCATTAACACTGTCTCTGTCTGGTAAGCGTCTAATACCACAGCCCATTGCCACTGTGTCTATGTCTGGTAGGCGTCTAATACCACAGCCCATTAACACAGTCTATGTCTGTAAGCGTCTAATACCACAGCCCATTAACACTGTGTCTATGTCTGGTAGGCGTCTAATACCACAGCCCATTAACACTGTGTCTATGTCTGGTAGGCGTCTAATACCACAGCCCATTAACACTGTGTCTATGTCTGGTAGGCGTCTAATACCACAGCCCATTAACACTGTGTCTATGTCCGGTAGGCGTCTAATATCACAGCCCATTAACACTGTGTCTATGTCTGGTTCGCGTCTAATACCACAGCCCATTAACACTGTGTCTATGTCCGGTAGGCGTCTAATACCACATTCCATTAACACTGTGTCTATGTCTGGTACGCGTCTAATACCACAGCCCATTAACACTGTGTCAATGTCTGGTACGCGTCTAATACCACAGCCCATTAACACTGTGTCTATGTTTGGTAGGCGTCTAATACCACAGCCCATTAACACTGGCTATGTCTGGTAAGCGTCTAATACCACAGCCCATTAACACTGTCTCTGTCTGGTAAGCGTCTAATACCACAGCCCATTAACACTGTGTCTATGTCTGGTAGGTGTCTAATACCACAGCCCATTGCCACTGTGTCTATGTCTGGTAGGCGTCTAATACCACAGCCCATTAACACTGTGTCTATGTCTGGTAGGCATCTAAACACGTTGCAAATACATTTTCAAAGCAGCCCTAGTCAATAGCCTTACGCACACAATTTAGACGTGTGAGTGGCCGGTGCTGTAGTGGCACCATCCCACGGTGTGGATGTCCAATTACAGCTCACCACATCGTACGCGCCGATGCCATGCGGAGTTGTACGTAACGTGGGATGCACTTCCCTGGTGATTGTCACGCGCTGCAAGTTCCTTATTCAGTGCCACTTTAATTTGCCGCAAGGGCATTCCTCAACGGGCAGCTCGAGGATGGCGGCTCCGTCCACGGTGAGCGAGGCCGCAGAACCGTTTCACTTTAATTCCGCGTGCCATCAACTTACCCCGCGAGCATTAACCGCCGCAAAGGATGATTCTCAAAAGGATGAATGTAAACATATGCAACACAGCCTACGCACACACGCAGAGACACGCGCGCGCATGTGTGGCTTTTCTTCACACCCCAATGAAGCAACCTTTTAAACACCTCCTTTGTAAGTGGTGAAATATTCCTCAAGGACCCTGCGCTCGTTCTCTGCAATGTCGCCGTCTTTGTTTCGTTGCTGCTGCTGCCGCTGCCGCCGTTGCTCATTGCAGCAGCACGGATCTCTCCTTGGAAGCTAGCCAGGAGAACGGCACAACGGGACCGTCGTCCGTGTCGACAAATCAAAAATAAACTCAATTGGGACAACGGCAACAAAAAAAAACCTCAATAACGCCGCGTGGCCTCAAAACGAAAACAATTCTAGGAGGCAACGTTTCGAGCAATGGCCCTTCTTCGGAGCACACATATAGCATGCGTGGCACGTGCGCTACTACGACGAAGAAGCGTCAAGTTTCTTCCCGGTCAAATTCACAACGGAAGAGTAGGCAAAATACCCACGAGAAGGGCCTCTCAGAAGCTCTCTGGGCTTTCTTCGCACGCCACGAAAAAGGGCCCTACATTTGTTTTTATTTTAAGGCCACAGTGTTTTGCTTGAATGTTCTATTTTCACATAGAATATTAACGTGGTGGTGCTTTGAGTCGCAGATTTCAGTTGACTTTGAGTGTGTTGAGATTGTCACTGTTGGCTGCGCTTTTGCACCACAGCCAACGCACCAGCAGCAGCAGCATCACCACATTAATATGTTCGGTCTCTTATGGTGTACACACACCAATCGTTGAAACAATTCATTCATTTGTATGAACGGCAATCCGTAGACTTTACGCTGTACATACAAGCAAATACCGTGCAACACACTCAAAGTATACGCAATGCATTACCACCACCCCCTTTTAACACAAAAAAGTATAGAAGTAGTTACTTAAGTACACGCTCGTTCACAGCCAAATACTAACACAGGCACGTGCGTGCAATCGTACACCGCACACGTTCCGCTAACGTCCCCGTTTCTCCCCAACGAATGCCCTCTGCGGAGCAGCGAGCAGCGCGGCAGCGGCCGTCGATTTGTCAACGGGTCGCCAAAGCACGGCGGTAAATTCGCGTTCCCGTGCAGCACGGGGGGGGGGGTGGGGAGACGCAGAATCTGCGGCCACCGCGGGCAATTCGTTCCGAGCGCTCCCGCTGCGATCACGGCGTTACGCTCGTCCGTCGTCATCCCAGCGGGTCGCTCGCGAATGCGCATCGGGCGCGGGGCTTCACAGCGAACACTCACCTTTGGCAAAGCCGAGGACGAAGGCTGGGATGTTCGGTGAGATTACGACGATGTTGCTGGTGGTGGTTGGTGGTGGTGGCTGGGTTGCCCGTATCTCGCTGGCGCAATGCATTCACTTTGTCAACCCGCGCTGCCTGCCTAGACCGCTGCTGCTGCTGCTGCTGGCTGCTGCCGCTGCAGTATAAGTCACGAGCATTCGCCGCCTGCATACAGATCGGCTCCAGAGCAGTGCCCCAGTGTGTGCGCGCGTGATACTGCTGTGTGGGTGGGCATGCCACACACATGCGTGCGGGTGTGGGTGGGTGGGTGTACACGCGATATGTGAGTCTGTGTGCGCGCGTGTGTGCCAGGGGGTGCAGTGCTGCTGCTGTGCACGCTGCGCTATGCTCCGAGTTCGATTTCCACTCACGGTCGACACGAGTGAAAATTGTCTAAAACCGGTCCTGGGGCTCCCCTAGGTTGACTCAGTCTCAAATAAGTACCTGGTGCGGTGTGTAAACGTCACCATTAGGGAGACAAAGGCGGCCGGGCGTGGTGCTGGACATCCAGCTCCTTGTATGCCGTGCCGGCTTTCATTGGTGCTTGCTAACAGCACTTGACAATGCAGTCGGTTAATGCTATCTTTGTCTTTGTGTGGGTTAGTAGGAGCGGTGGCACAGTGGTTAGCGCACTGCCCTACGAACCCGTCGACCCCAGTTCGCACCTCCGATTAACACGGTTGGCTACGTACGGTGTGAAGGAAGTTCAACATACAATTCCCACTTATGAACAAAATCAGCGACGAATATTTACGAACCGGTCCTGGGCCTCCCCTAGGTGGGCTCAGCCTCAATGAATACAAAAATCGCCGCTAGGGAGACAAAGACGGCCAGGCGTGGTGCTGTCAACCCATCCCCCTCGTGCGGCGTGCTGGTTTTACATCGGTGTTCACAAACAGCACTTGTCCCGCCAGTCTGTGAAGGATACACGGGGGATCTTTGTCTTTGTGTGCGTAAAGACGTTGCACCTTCGCAGACTCGTCAAAGTGTCGCAGTGGCCCGCAAGACAGCGCAACGATCCTGGCGAACAGCGTGGGGGGGGGGGGGGGGGGGGAGGCAGAGCCTCCCTGCATCTCCTGACCGCATGTCCCTCCCTGGTGCATACCCAAGCCTGGCTTGAGTTTCTTTCAGGTTGACTCGGCCTAAAATGAGGACTGTAACCTGGTACGGTGTGTGTATCAATACTGCGCAGACAAGGGTGATCACGTGTGGTCCTGGCCACATCGGTCCGTGCTGGACTGCACTTACACAGCAATAGGCGCTCGCTAACAACACACGTACCGACAGCATCCCTTACAGTTGAACACGTAGGCTTCCGCGGCCAATATCCATAATACAGGTTTTTTTTTTAATGGAATATCCCTTATAGCTAAATCTATTCAAGCCTCCCGTAAGTCACGTGACGTCTACGTGGCCACCCCCACTCTGAACTCCTCCCCCTCTCTCCCCGCCCCCTGTGAAAACAGACGCCGCTCTGCCGTGCCGCTCACGTGCGCTCGCTCCTTCCTTCCCTCTTCTACTGCTCTCTTCCCTCCTCACACATCATCATCACCACCACCGCCACCACCCCTCTCATTCCCGACATGTTATTTCATATGTATGGAGCACCTTCACTCAAGGCCCTTGGCGTAAGTGTAAACAAGTAATATTTAAAAAGAAAAACTTTTTTTTAAAACACGCTTTAATGAAATGTACCGTACTGGTAATGGCAGAACTCCACGACTCCAGGAAGTGGGCCCGAAGCTTGCCACAACGTAAGGGCCCCGTGGTGATTTACAGCCAACGTCAGTTGAGCGTGGACAATTAGACCCAAGCCGAAACAACATATAAAAAATAATGTTTAAAAAATATTTTTTTTTTATTTTTAATGATAGAATATAGTATTGTCATCAGTATGACATAAGTATACGAAGTTTCCAGTCGATACCACATTGGGAAGTGGCTTCAAATTGAATTACAAGATTTGAGGATACAACAACAGACAGTGAGTTAATAGAAAGCGTGTAACAAGGGCGACAAATTTGAATGATTTCGATGACAGGTTCGGCCATTCCATCTCCTCCTCCTCATCCTCCCATTCTTCCTTGGGGTTCCTCCTCTCTTCCTGCTGCTCATATTGACCCGTGCCCTCCTCTCTGTCCGTTTTAGGGATTTCTTTCCTGGCATCCCTTCCCCTTTCCCGTTCCCATCTCTCTGTTGCGGTGCATCACCACCACCACCACCATTATTATACCATTGACTCTGCGGTTACTCCCCTTCCCGTGATGTGCCAAGAGGAAAGTTGTTACGGATGTTTACGTGATATGGTTACGTACGGTGCGAAAGAAGTTAAACAGACGTGCATGTGCAAGTACATCTTTGCATGCACCAACGTGTGTGTGTGCCTGCTGGTGTATGCGTGTTCGTTTGTTTTTGTGAGGACATTTCACTGCGACTGTTAAAGGCTGGTGAATTCATTACAGCCCGATGCTCAGCGATAATAAATTACTCCGAGTGTAGGGCTGCCATTCCCCAGGCTCCCCAAACACACCAAAGACAAAGATCCCCCGTATAGACTTGACAGGCTGTTGGCAAAGCTGTCAACCCATACGGTTTACCCCGCATTCGTATACAGGGAAATCGAGTTTTCAGGTCCGTACGGCGTACAGCCGTTTCAATACGGGTAATTTGTTTTTGTCTATTTGTGTTTCTCCCTTGTGATGGGACTTTGTAGGATAAACGTTGAGATTTATAAGGGGCACGGGGTGACCAATAAGGTCTGAATTGGTCTGTAATAAGGTAGGGCATAAGGGGTTGGCAGCTATGGGAGCTCAACAACAACAACAACCGCCGTTCGACACTAAGTAGCGGTGACATCACCGCGGTGGTTGTGCCAGGCTAGGTGCACCTATAGAGAAGCCCCCCCCCCCCACAATCGCCCAAGTCAATAAGTAAAACTGTAACAACGGTCCGGTTGTTATGCAGTGGGGGTCATCTCCCACAGCAGGGGAAACAACAGCGCGAAACAAGGAATCGTCACGACGTTAAACACGGGCATCACCCAATGGGACGTTATAAAATCCTCTCGCGCCGCGGCCAAAGTGAGGAAAGCTGACAGCCAAAGGGGCACCCGTTGCATCTGCACGACAATCGTGGTTCGGTGTTAGATGATGACGATGACGGCGATGACGATGATGACGGCACGCGTTCTCACGGGGTGAAGTTGCTACCGCAGCGGTTTAGCGCATCGCGCTGTGGACCCCCAGGTTCGATTCCCTGGCCAAGGCGAACAACCGACGGCGAGTTATACCGTGAACCGGTCCCCGGACGCCACCGAGGCTTCCACAAAGGCCCATTGCTTAGCGTGGTGAAGTATGGTCGAACAACCCCCATCATTGGGGGTGTGCTCTGAGTGGTCAAGCATGGACTGGCAAAGGACCGGGAAAGACAATTGCAAATGTAGGGGGTTCTTAGTATCACCCGTGCGGTGTGAGCCAGCAACGCCAATTCGCCGCAGTGTACACCAGGCGCCTGCGTTGTTCCTGTCAAGACAATCACCTTACGATCACCCAATCGTCACAGTGGGAGGGAGATCGTTGCCGTCTCCCAGGGTCCTCTTAAGCCACCCTAGATAAGGGGACACACAATGTCTGACTTGAAAGATCCACAGGACGAAGCAAGAGGGAATCGGATGTCTTGGCGTCTGCGAGTGAAACCTGATGACTCCCATTTCCACAGCCGGCTCCCTTTAAGGCAGTCACTGGACATTCCACATTTCCATGACGAGGGGGCGGGCGGTCCGCCAGTAAAGCAACCTCTTGGGGAGCTCCCAACGCCGGGGCAGGCTTAGCTGGCCACTCGGCCCTCCTTCCCAGAACTCCCTCTCTCTGCTTCAAAGTCTCTCCTCAGAAGCTTCTTCCCCCACTCAATCTCGTGCCATCAGACCTCCTTAATCGCTTCCCTCCCATTCCCTCCGCTGTATGTCTCTGTGCGCCGGAGATATTGGTTATGCTTTGGGGGCATTAGTCACGTCAGACTGTTGTCTGGCTCTACGCATTAAGCGGCGGTCTGTTGTACGTACACAGCTGTCAACCCACACGGTTTACCCCCCTGTTCTTGTAGAGTGAAATTTAGTTTTCAGGTCCATACGACGTACAGCCGTTTCAATACGGGTAATTTGCATTTGTCTATTTGTGTTTCTCCCTTGTGATGGGACTTTGTAGGATGAACGTTGAGATTTATAAGGGCACGGGGTGACCAATAAGGGCTGGATTGGTCTGTAATATGTAGGCTCTGATAAGGGGTTGACAGGGATGCACGCAACAAGAGCCCCATACGTTTAGGCTGGTTTAGGATTTTATCATTCGTGCAAGCAAAAAAGAGCGAGGGTGATTCATTTATTTTGACTGTTTTTTCGTGCTGGATCTACGCGAGGTTTTTTTCTTCGCGTCCTGCAAAACGAAAAAAATTCCCTGGTGAAATGTTGGCTCGCGCGATCCCACAATCGCACCCTCATGTCTCTCTCTCTCTCTCCACGAGGAGCAATCTCGTAATTTTCAACTCGGCGCCACGGCGCTTCTGTAAATGTATTCAGTGTTTTACCTCTCAATCGATGCGAGGATTCATACTGTATGCGCTGTAAAAACTGGAAAATGTATTGAAGCTCTAATCACGGAAAATCAATGATGTGGGGGGGGGGGGGGGGGAAGGGGAATGCACGTGCCAGCTTTAAACATTTAAATATGTGCACACGTAGGTCAAGGCCGCTGTGATAAAGAGGTCACCAGGGCCAATTGTGTCGACGACAATAAACAGCTGCACATTTACCCGGGATAGCCACACTTAGTCCAGGGACTTGTTTTTTTAAAGAGGGTCCTGCGTAGGGATGTTGGCACACATCCTTGCCAATCCGTTTCCTTCCTTCTGCTCGATCTCACAGCTCGTGCAGAGTCGACATGCAACCGGCAGGGTTGACTGTCGCAGTCCGTCATCGCCACCGGCCTCTCCCGAGGTTGTTGACCTCTGGGTGCCACTTCAATGTCCCCTCTGGGTAAGTTGTCCGCCTCCACCCTGCAACCTCCTCCACTTACAATATTGCCTCGTTATTTACGAACCTGCCGTCCGCGATTTTGGCTATCCGCATCTTCGACTCTACACGACTGCATAGAGAGAGAGAGAAAGATAAAGTGATCCGTAGAAAGTTATCCGTAGAAAGTGATGCGAGAGAAAGTGATGAGATGAAGAGATGTGCTATTATGATAATGTTCACATATCTAATAGCTTATTTACATATTAAGATAATTTATTAAAATATTTTAAAAAACATTCGGACGCGAAATTTTGCTGTTCACTCGCTATAAGTGAGTCGTAACTTTTTGACCACTGCCGCTCATGTGAAGGTTTCCTGGCTTGGTCGGGATTGTGCTGTGGGATGTGTAGGAGACCTCATGGACACATTGATTCGTTGTGATAACTTTTTTGTGCTTTTTGTTTGGGTGCCATTCTTAATTTGTTTATAAAAAATATTTTGCTTAGTAATAGTAGGATTTTCATTGGCTTGGTAGTGGCTGTATATGGGATTTGGTCCTCTATATAATGAATCTACAGCGTTATGGGATGCTATTAGCATGGGCGCCACAGTGGTGAGATGTTACCTGCTGTGCAGGAGGCATGGGTTCGATCCTGACCCTAACGCCTGTATATTTCAAGTTTGCATGTCTCTCTCCGTGGTCACGTGGATTTTGTCTGGGTTCTCCGGTTTTTCCCTCCACATTTGGAAACAACATCACGCGTTTAGAGTATTTGGTTGCTTTAAACTTCCACCTGATAAGCTACTTTGTTGAGCTGTCATTTGTGGCCAGGTCATTTAAAAAAATATATATATCTTTATAGCTCAGTGGGCTTTAACTGGCAAATATTTTTTTAAAGTAGATTAGTTGAATGACGCGATATAAAATGAAATAATTATTATGCCCTAACATTAAGTCATGCATAATTGCAGTGATATATTGCTTGAGAGTGCACACATCAATTACCGTAACATTGACACCACAAGCACGGTCAGGGACGGACTTTGCGGAGAATGACCTAGCCGTAGTTGAGAAGTAATCCATTACATGCACCATGTCAAATCATTTATGCACCGCAATAAACAAGCAAGCCAATTCAAGCTGGGGAAAAAGCTAGCATATTAATGGAGTATTTATGATGATGTCGACTCCAAAAAGTCCACAAATTACTCTTTAAATCGGTTTTATCACTAGTATAGGTGAATTATTACAGCGCACGATCGTGAGAGATGGTGGAGATGGCTATTCGGAGGACTTCATCCAGCAGTGGATTGACCATGGCTGACAATGATCGTGGTAGTGGTGATCACAAGCATTCTGCTTTGGAAGTTTATCCAGATTCATTTGTATTTTCGTGACATCATTCACAATATTTCATCGATATCGTCATCACAAGCCATGACCTATCCACTGCTGCATTCGGATCTCTCCAATCCATTGCCGTTCCTCACGTTCACAGCGACGCAGGACAAAACCCTCGCTCCTGCCCACTCACTGATCCCATGGCACCATCTCCCACGTGGACCTCCTCTTGGTGGAGCTAATTCACACCTTTGGCTGCCGCTCCACCGTTGGTCTCAAACCACCGGCCGTCACCTCTCTGTTGCTGTCGCCTCCTGCCCAAGCCCACTCGCTCTGATTCGATGTCTCCAACGTGAGTTTGTGCTGTGGCCCACGTCTTCTTCTCTCCGTCTCTCAGTGCTCTGCTTTGTGCACTTTCTTCTGACTTTGTTCCACACACTCGTATGTTTCTGAGCCATGTGTCAAGAGCACAGTTGGCTACGTATGGTGTGAAAGAAGTTCAACACACACTGGTAACAATACAATTATGTATCACTTATTATTATTATTCTTCGGACACATTGCTGTGAAACTTTTCATTGTCAAGTTAGTGTTACAATAGCGCCCCAACCTGCCTCTTTATCTCATCATTTTCATCCAGGTCTGTCTTCAATAACTGCGCTAAGTTTACATCCTCCGATGGGCTTACCAGTCGATTACCTCTTGACTGGCACTGTATTTTAGTCTGCATTTGTTAAGTAAAATCTGTGCTTGCGTGATAAACCAATTGGACAAATGCGTAGGCGTTAATGGAGAGTTGTATTCACCATTTCACATTTTCTCAGGACAGAGTTCTTATATCGCCGATGGAAATTAACTGCAGGAAACAATTGAGGAACTCAATGAAGAATGCTGCAGAGTTGGGCCCAAGATATGCATACATACAAATAAATCAATGGCAATGATGACGATGCAAATGACAGTGACGGTCACACAACTGCGTCGATTTTCGCGGTTGCGATGTCCGACATTTCGCTCGACGTGTTGGGAGCTTCTGCACGGGGCTGATTTATTCCGGAACTAAACAATTTGTCGTCACGAACTGAACCCTTCAGCTCCCCCGAAGAAGCGGCCGTCACGAGGAGCGAAACCGACATCGACCAACACACGGTGCAGCCCGAATGCACATCGGAGAGGGCTGTGACGGGTCACTCCGTTGGTCATCTCGCACAAACGAGGCCACGGGGCCCACCAACGGTAGCTCTCGCAGGTCACAGGGAGCCTCGTCCCTACAGCGACGCATTCCACGTGCTCGATGCACGGTTGGCTATGTACGGCGCTAAAGGAGTTCGAGAAACACGCGTACGCGCAACGCACAACGCCCTCGCAGGCTGGCCATCGAACAAAGACGGTGGTCACCGCATCGCTCGTATTTCAGATGCGCTTCAGCGGCCGTCTGGAACGCTCTTCCTTCCGATATTAGGAAGCTACTGGAGCTATACACGTTTAAATCATGATCTAGACTGACAAACTCATTTCTTTAGAACTGCTTTTTGTGTTTAGTTTGTCGTCCTTCCCCCGCACCTCCGACTAGCACGGTCGGCTACGTACGGTGAGAAAGAACATGAACGTACACACACTACACAGCCCCATTCTCCAAGGCCGCAAAACAGCTGACGACGCGGATCTCTCTCACCCTCGGGGGTGATCGATGCGGCACGTCCCTCTTCAACTCACTGTGTACGGGGGTGGGTGGGTGGGTAGGTGGGTGAGGGTGGCGTCCTTTCACCGTTACCGGCGCTTCCATCAGCCAAACGCGCGCGGCGTCGTGCCGGGCGATCGGGGCCAGGATCGATGCCCGCACGGGTTGTAGACGTCGGTGCGATGAGAGGTGTTCCCAAGCCGGCGGGCACGGCAGCTGCACTGAATCCCTTCAGGGATGCTCACAGCAAACCGTTTTCACTCGTCCCCTCTTTTTTTTTTTACAAGTGCGTGCGTCTGCGCGTGTGTTTGGGTGCTTGGGGAGCGGCAGTGCGGGAGTTATCGCGCCGCGCTACGAACCCGGCGACCCGGGTTGGATTTACGCTCATGGTCGACAGCAGTGATGATAATTACCTGAGCCGGTCCTGGGTCTCCCCTAAGTCCACTTAGGCTCAAATGAGCACTTGGTGCGGTGAGTAAACATCACTACTGGGGAGACAAAGGAGGTCGGGCGTGGTGCTGGCCACCCACTCCCTCGTGTCACGTGCCGGCCTTCATTTGGTGCTCGCTAACAGCACTTACCCCAAAAGTATGGCAAAGCTGTGCGGGGGATCTTTGTCTTTGTCTACGTGGTGAGTGGGGGCGTGCTGGCTTGTGTGCAGCGCACTTGGAACCCGGTGACCTAAGTGTTGATCGCCAGCCACAGTTATCGTTAGTGGCGGGAGCTATCTGAACCAGGCGTGGGCATTCTCTAGATTAGCTCAGCCTTAAATTAGTAGCAGATGCCGATTTGTTTTTAAGATGGAACGGCAATGATGACGGAAGTAAAATAATGACAGGGTAAGTTCCATCTGCATCTATTAGAGCTCTACATTATACATTCTTAATTACATGTTAATATGTATTCCTTTGTTAATTTACTGCTAGCTTAAGGCTGTGTGGAATTACGTGGGGGGGGGGGGTTAACCATACTTCACCACACTGGTCAATGCGGGTGTGGCAAATGGGGTGGGTGGGGGGGGGCGGCCACAGCACCGGATCTCACACATCACTCGCCACTCATGTGAGACGTGGCTAGGAATCGAAATCAAATTGGAGGTCACCGGGTCCACAGCGCGGAGTTTCCAGAACGCCGGGTGCGTGCGCAATCCCGGGCACCGTCAAGATGTGCGAAGTGAGCGGTAAAAAACATTCGGCCGCCTACAAAAACCTTGACTGCAACCTGATTCGGGCCATTCGTGAGCAAAACCGTGATGATGGAACCGAGATGTGAACGGGAACAAGAGTGAGGCGTTACATGTTGTGTAAATACCCCGTGTCGTCAATACACCCCAGATCCGTGCTGTGCATGTGTTAATGTCCGTCTCCGTTGGCAAGAGCTCTTCCTGCATTGCGCTACGAACTCGATGACCTGGGTTTAATATCTGCCAAGGCGACATCAGTGGCAGGTTGTATCTGAACCCTGCTCTGGGTCTCCCCAAGGTCAACTCGGCCTTAAAATGAGAAACAGGTGCAGTGTGTGAACGTAAATACTCGGGAGGTGTGACGGTGACTCCATCTCCCTTCCTTTGCCCTTCCTCGCCCTTGATAGGTGCTCGCTAACAGTGCCCGCTCCTCCGGTTCCACACGGTGAGAGAGGACGCTTGTGCAAGTGTAATCGCTGTTGAAAAGAGAATAAATGCCCACCCTTGCTCCAGCCAGCATTGTGCGGTATCGATGTTCACTGGACGCTCGGGTTAGTCGTTGGTTGGAAATTCCACATTTCTGCGGTGGGGACTAGTCACGGACAGTGGGGCAAATTGCCAAAGTGATATGTCACACACAGACAATTAAAACTACAAACTATTTTTTAAATATAATACTACACAATGTCCACTGAGCTACGTATATAACTCTTTTTCAGAAGCGACCTGTCCACAAATGATAGCCCAACGAGGTGGCTTATCGTGTGGACATTTTTCGCAGCCAAATACTCTGAACGCACGTTTCTAAATGTGGAGGGGAAAACCGGAGGACCCGGAGAAAAATCCACGCGAACACGGGGAGAGAGACACGCAAACTCCAAATATACAGCAGGCGTCAGGGTCTGGATCGAACCCACAACCTCCTGTATATCAGGCAAGGTAGTTAACATCTCCTAGCGACCGCGGCGCCAATTTGCTGAGATGTTAATCTGGGCGAACGTGTGTCAAACACGATTTGTTTTATTTGTTTAAACTACGGCGCGGTACGTTAAAAGGGTTAAGGTGCAGGCCTGCAATTTCTCGGTCACGCCACTGCTGGCCAGAAGGGCCTCCAGTAGAGGGGGCTCGAGAGCCCCTCCAAGAGAATATTTATTACCCTAATTCTTCCACCCTGGCCAGACGCCTCGAAAGCGGTGGTAGAACTCACACCTTACCCCACCACACGCAGCCTGGTGATCAACATTTATAATTCGGGGTCAACAGACGTCGGGGGGGGGGGGGATTTAAAACAAATTCGCCGATTGCTTCAACTGGCACGCCAGGAGGTTGAACTGGCGACCTCTGGATTGCAAGTCCAGTGTGCTCACCATTACACCCATCGCAGCATTCGTAATGAAAGCAAGAATAATTTTACCAGATTATTTTATCGTCGTCCGGCCGGTGGGTGCTGTGGTCAGAGCCCTTGACTCACAATCAGACGGTTATGAGTTCACATCCGGGCAGGAGTAGACTCAGCCTACGATCAGAACTCGCGATATGCAGCCGACTGGGAATGCTACACATTCAAATAAATTAACTTATATCCAAGACGTTTACATTTGACGTGTTATAATGCGCGCTGTGAATGAGCGGTCACATGATCGTCGGGCCCGTGTGGGGGCGCTCAGTACGCACCGTGTGTCGCTGAGCAACAATCTAACCCAAAATAATCGACGGCGCCGTTGTGGAGAACGCATTTCTGTTGAGTTATGGTTTATGTAATTTCGCTTCAGATCATTTAAAGTAATGTCTTATGTAACTTCGCGTCGAACTGAGACCCCGAAATTGTACGCAGGAGGGGCCCTTGCCTGCAACATTGGCAGTTCACCAGCATTGATTTAAGTCGGACTCTGCTGATGAGACCCTGAATGTCGAAACCGGTCCAGTTTACTTCTCTTGAAACACTGCTGTTGATCTTACGCATTCCCAGAAGGCCACATTCTATTAAGGTGGAGACATGGGTACATCAATGAGATGTACTCATTCATGTATCCATGTTCCTGTTAATTTATATTGCTAATGTAGAATTCATGATTCTCCTTTGTTTAGAAATGAAGAAATGTTTTATTCTCTTTTTAAAAACGTGCTTGGGGTTCTTGATCTCCCATCGTGTTCACTATTGCCTGATTTCACTTTAAGACTAAGTATACGTATATACATGAGTTCAACTTAACATTGCACTCAAAATCTAAGACCTGAGTTAATGCATTCTACACAAGGCATCATTAAACATTTCGCAGCGTTTATTAACATTACTTGTGATTTGCAGGTCACGTTGCATTTCATCGCCTGAAATGATACTTTACTCACGTAAGTGTAAATAAACATCGGAGGGTAAATCATTCAAAGTCCCTCAATGTCATCATGGAGCAATGCCCCTGATGCTCCTGGAGGCTTTATAACAAGCACCGTCTTGTGGGATGTCAACAGTGGTTGATGGGACGAGTCCCAGTAAGCATGCAACGTTGGACTCATTTTGGCATGTGGCTCAGACCGTTAATTCAACGTTGGCCCATGTTTTACTTGGAAGCCACCTCAGAGAAGTGGAGAGACCACCGCAAGGAGATACCGGTGTGACACAAACGGTCAGGCTCAACAGCTCAATCGCCTAGAAGAATGAGAATTGTGGTTGTCCTATGTCCTATGGACAACCTGGTTCCCATCATGAGAATGTGGAATTTCCACCACTGACTCAGAGCCACCAATTGAAATAAGCATGGCTCTATTGCTCGTGGTTGTTCCATGGAAGACCTGGCTCCCATCATGGCAGTGTGGAATTTACACCACCACTGGCCCAGGGCCACAAATTTAAATTCGTGCCACCCCACTGCTCGCAAAAGAAGGACACTTTGATTGTGGCTTGACTGGCAATATTCAGTATGGTTAACGGCATAAAAAAATAAACACAAAATTAGAACGCTCTATGCTTTACACATTCACAAATCGACACGTTAGTTCATGCTATGTGTTTAAGCTGCAAACCCGAGCCCGGGCTTAACAGCACATGTATCCGCTAGGATTGGTAATATTATTACTCTGTTGTGGGAAGGAAGCTGTGTTTATCCTTTACAAAATCTGGCTCATTTCACGGTAAAGTGGATTCCCAGGGCCGCTGAGATTTGGACTGCCCAGTGCTTTATTTGAGTGGTGGGATATTTTCACTTTCTATTCCTGGGATTTTGACATTTAAATTAAAATTATTTCCCCCAAAACCTCGCTGCTGAACGGCCACTATTTTCGCAAATCACAAGAACGTACACCATTTCAACCGTGTGTTTCAAATAATAGTAATTCAAATTCTAAAAGTTTCATAAGACTGTTTATTAACACGGTTGGCTACGTACGGTGCGAATCTTCAACCTACATACATACGTGCATTAAGCACGCAGATAAATAAATCATGCCATTCTGCAGAGTATAATTTTTTTCTCAAACACAAGTCAATGGCAGTGCGCACGCGTAATTATTAAACTTACCTCGATGCTCTCCGCGTGGATCGAATACTCCAGGGCTTCCGGGCCGTCCGATTGGCTGCCAGACCACGGAGACATCCCATTGGCTTGCACCAGCACATGACTCCAGCCTAAATGTGGAGCAACCGAGATCGAAATTATAACCTCCCGTCTGTCCACCCCATCTCATCCTGTTGACACAAATGGACCCGTTAAACGGTCATGCCACAATAGCTTAAGGCTGCTACTCAATACCTGTGCCAATTCACGATAATTTTGTGAAAGTTTTAATTATGTATAATATAAAGTTTTAATTATGTATGCCAAGGGATACAATGTGGTTGAACCGCAAGACATAATGTGAAAGCTCCCACAATAATAACAAAAAGTATATTTGACATTCTCATCATTCTTAAAGCGTGAGGATATTACAAAGGTTTGATTTTAAACAGAAGAGTACAGTATAGTCTGCCAGTGGGCTTGATGTTATGGAGTCATTTTCCCGATTAAGATTGGATATTTACATTTTGGACCATGAGGTGAGCACACGTGGCCGTCTGTTTTCAAATTATCGCAGGATCTTTAATGTCCACTGTGGGGAAGACTGTATTGTTTGTTTGGTTAATACACGCGCAGTATTAACCAGGGCGGCCGCTGGACTTAAACCGTGGCAGCCCCTTCTTGTCGTGGGAATGCAAGTTGTGGTTAATTCGAAATTTAACATGGAGAGGGTTTACCACGTGCATTTTATGTCCGTAATCTGACCCAAAACATTTATTATGATTGTGATTGATTTTGTTTGTAAGGTAAGTTGTTAACATTGTTTGATATCTTTGTGCAGATAATTCTCTCCGAGTGTTAAGACTCGTTTCAGGAGGGTCTTGCTCGGATGTTTGTCTAGTGTCTTTGTGAAGCTTCTACTTGGGGAGAAACTGTAGTGCCCAGATGATTTTAAACGTTTGACCTGTGCTTCCTCTTGTTTAGAAAATCGGGCCTTAATATATCAAGGTCTGCTATACTTTTTAAAAACTAATTAAAATCTGATATTTCTAAATCAAAATTACAGTATACAATACACCTTGACAGATAGTAATGAGAAAATACCTTAACGTGGATATGTTACTGAACTCAGGATTTCTCAATAATTTTTGTTGTTGTGACATTTGAGATTTGAATGTGATGCTGCCACCACGATAAAAAAAATAACGTGCAATAATTTAAGACTAGCGGCATTACGCAACCAAAAACTCTTGCTTAATTACAGCCACCATACAAAATGCCATAATAGAAGTTTTTGAGTTAGATTGCATAAATGTGTCTTTAAACCCACCACCACCCGACACAGCCAACTAGTAAGGTTGGTCACTTAAACAAAACATGCCAATTCGTTACTAGTACTACAGCACACCGGTGTGTTGGAGAGTAAACCCACAACATTTACAATTACAAACTTTTAAAAAATGCCGCCTGCGTCCAGCAATGCCGCCTGGTTGAAAAAGACACTGACCGGACTCAAGTAAACAAGACTGAAGGTGTGCCAATGAGATAGGAATTAGGCCTCTTTGTTCAAGGCAACGTGTGTTACGTTGTCATTCGGGCTGAGCCAGTTTGAGAAAGCATCTGATGCCTGTCGTTAAAGAGGTGACAAGAGCAGGGCCCGAGTTGAACAAGGTGGCAACTTTTAGGCAATGATTTTGCCTGCAACAATGCTCACGTGAATTTTCATCCGTTTTTAACCTTGAACTGCGCCGATAAAAGGATGTAAGGTTGGTTGGATTGCGATTGCAACTCCCGCCATGCAATTCTATTCGAAGTCGTTTTGAAATGCGATTGGCTGAAATGAGGTCGTCAGCCGCAACACGTTTGCAGAAATAAATAAATATGGCTGCTAATTCCGTTTACGTGGGAAATCGTGCAAGATTCTTTATTCGTTACAGTCGAATAAAGGTCTACTTATTTAAATACGTAAAAACTCAACGTGTTCGTTAATAACACTGTGGCCTTAAAATGTTAAATATAGCAGCACGTAAATGTAGTATTTATAAATGTAGCATTTATAAATGTAGTATTTATATGCTTTAAAGTAGGAGCATTGCCCAAAATGTCGCCTATTCTATGTTTGTACTCTTTAAAGCAGTGCTATTGACGAAAGAGTTCAGTTTTTGCTGTTAATGCTGGTGCACTACTGCCAACGCAGCATCACCAAATGTAATTAAGGTACTTAATTTTATATACAGCATTGCATTATTTTATTGATAAAGTGTTCCAAAAGTGGCATGGGTAGGCCACAATTCCTTGCCTAGACCCTTGATGAATTTCAGGTCAGCTCTTAAGCCAAGGGAAATTAGTGTATTTAGAATCAGAATGTTGACTGTTAAACGGTTTTATTGGTTACTCAATATCTACTTTTAGGTAACTATTCGTCTGCCAAATGTACAAACTGTTACTCAATAAATATATGCAACGTGTCATTCTTATCATGCCTTGATATCAGTCCCTAACTATTCACTCCATCTCTCAACCGGCCTCTGTATTTATGTGCTATGACGAAGAGCCATTTGCTGAAATATTGCCTGTTATATATTTTTTTCCTTTTAAGGCCACAGTGTCGTTGACGAACGCGTTGAGTGTTTTTATTATTTGTGTTCATGAACCATTGCCAATGCAGTGTCACTAAATAACTTGTTTATCTCTGGGCTGGTGCACCTATGAAAGACAGTCAGGTAGGTAGATACAATATTGGGCCTGTCCTCGCGTCTACTGAATTAATCATTACAATTACGGACTTGGCTAGAATGGCTTAATAATGTGCAAATTGTCACAGTGAATACAAGAGCAATGCATTTATCACGTTTGACCCAAGCTTTTTCTCAACATTTGGAGAATGCAGCAATAATTAGACGCAGTAGAGACGGCCAGCGGAATTGATTCAGTTATTCGCGAACCACACCTACTGCACCCCTCAAACCAACGGTTATGTGAATGAAGCTGGCCAGTTGCGAATCCTCGCGCAACCTTCACTCCCGTGGTTGCGAAGAGCGCACTTGCCCATTCCCAAAGTGCCTGCGGACATGGGACTATCTACTCACTTCCGTTGGTTTGAGAAGTGTGCGTGGTGCATTTGCTAATCTCAAATTAATCTCGAACTTCCGAGCAACTCTACCACGGTGCAGACAGGGTGCAGCGTTTGACTTGGGCGCTGCCTGGTGTCCAGGAGGTCGTGGGTTTGATCCCGACCCCGACGCCTGCTGTATATTTGGAGTTTGTATGTTCTCCCCGTAGTCACGTGGATTATTATCCGGGTCCTCCGGTTTTTACCCTCCACATTGAGAATCAACGTCACGCGTTCAGAGTATTTGGCCGCTGTGCATTTCCACGTGATGGGCCACCTCCCTGAGCTATCATTTGTGATAGACAGGTTGCTTCTGAAAAAAAGAGGTGCATATCTCAGTGGGCCTTACCTGGTAAACAAAAAATAAATAGTTTTAGTTTAACGTCAGGTGAACGCAGCGGTGGCAGCGGACGACGTGGAGGCGGTGAGTGAGAGAGCAAGAGGAGCAGAGAGGGCTTACTTTTGCAGGCCGAGAGCGCACTTAGCAGAGGGCACCAGAGAGGCACAGCAGCTGGAGCGTTTAGTCATGCCTGTGGAGGGTGAGGTTAGAGCTGGCAGCAGGGCAAAGGGACTTGTTAGCAGCGGATCCGCAAGGGTGGCACGAGGTCGCGGAGAGGAATGGATTGGGCGGGTGAGCGGAGTCGTCCGCTGGGAGCAGCGCTCCCGCTGACCACCCCCCCCCTCCCCGGCACGTTGTCCGATTCACGCCGCGTGCACACAGTTCACTCCGTTGACCTGATCGCCACTACATGGCTTCACGGTGGCGGGATGTTAACTCCCCCACCTGGTATGCAGGAGGTCGTGGGTTATATTTTGCTATTGTTTTTATTTTACCAGGTAAGGCCCCCACTGAGCAATGTACCTCTTTTTCAGAAGCGACCTTGCCACAAATGATAGCCCAAAGAAGCGGCTCATCGCGTGGACATTTGTAGTGGCCAAATACTCTAAGCACGTGACGTTGATTCAATATGTGGAGGGAAGAAACCGGAGGACCCGGAGAATAATCCACTCGACTACGGGGAGAACATGCACACTCCAAATATACAGTCGGCGTCAGTGTCGGGATCAAACTCACGACCTCCTGTATACCAGGTGAGGGAGATAACATCTCGCCACTGTGGCGATCCGTTCGATCCCAACCCCGACGCCTGCTGTATATTTGGAGTGTGCATGTTCTCCCCGTAGTCGAGTAGATTATTCTCCAAGTCGCCCGGTTTTTCCCTCTACATTTATAAACATGCGTTTAGCGTATTTGGCTGCTATTCTATGTGATTAGCCACTTCGTTGAGCTATCATTTGTGGCCAGGTCGCTTCTAAAAAGAAACAGCTATATAGCTCAGTGGGCATTACCTGGTAAAATAAGAGTTAAATGACAACATGCATTTCAGTGGTGTATGCAGCTCACACGACTGTGATTAAATCACCCGAAATGTGCCCAACATTATCAGACCTCAGAAGCTGAGCAGGTATAAGCCTGGCCAGTGCGTGCATAGGTGACCACCATGTGCGAAGGGCAGGTGCAGTAGGCGTAGCGGGCAGCAGAGGGCAGTGCAGAAAAAAAGTCCACGGGTGTTCCGTACTCCCCTCCACCCCCTCCACCTTCACTGACCAGCATGTGGCAGTATGGTCAGTTAGCCCTCACGGTCTGCAAGGTGTGGAGAGGCAGTGGATCATCCAGCAGTGGATTGACGGCGGAAGAGGCCTACGTGGGCAGGCAGCTAACGGCGCCGCATGCGGTCACGCATCGTCATTTAAAATAGCCGTGCGTGATATAATAACCCCACACCGCGCAGCTCGATGCACTGTGAATTTCAAATGACGTTCGTCCTTCGAACGTTGTTTTTTGCCACCACATGCACTCCACTCTTACTGCAAGGTGAGACGTGTCCTGTAGTATCTAGTGGTAAAAACAATGGCGTGCACTTATCCATAGCGTTTACAACGGTGTTAAATGGCACGCAAAGCCCTGTGTTTATATACGCAGAAAGGGAACGTACGGACATACGGCAACATGTGTTTAAAGTTATTCGTTCGGAAGATGGAACACACAAAATAGTTTACGCGATTAATCAGTTTAAACGGTTACGCAGTTACGCGGAGCCCAGTAAGCATGCTGCAATGACGCCCAACAGCTGGATTGTGGTTTGAATCGTTGCACTAACGTTTGCCAAATGTTCGCCGAAACGTTTGCACGTCCACAGGGTGTGCACTGAAGCGGGGTTGCACGTCTACCCGAAGGCAGTAATTTTTAGTGTGCATCCAGTAAAGTTTGTGATGAGCTTCGAGACTTGTTTTTGTTCTTTCAGAAAAAAAAAACCGCAGAGAGACAAGGGGGCAAATGCAAGTCGCATTGCCGGAGTCTGCTTCCTTTGCTTCATTCTCTTACTATTTAAACACATTTTTTTATCTTACCAGGTAAGGCCCACTGAGCTGTATAGCTCTTTCTCGGACGCGGTCTGGCCACAAATGATAGCCCGACGAAGTGGCTCATCACGTGGACATTTATAGCGGCCAAACACTTTAAACGCGTGATGTTGATTCTAAATGTGGAGGAGGTAAAAACCGGAGGGCCCGAAGAAAAATCCACGCCACCCCAGGGAGAGAGAGACACGCAAACTCCAATTATACAGCAGGCGTCAGGGTCGGGATCGAACCCACGACCTCCTGTATACCAGGAGAGGTAGCAAACATCTCACCACAGCTCCATCATCATGTTTCACCAACCCCAGATAAAGTCACTGGTTTACTAAGTGTGCTTTACACCGACTCTACCAACCACTGAGACATTCGAAATGTCATGAAAACGTGAAAACTCAAACATTTCTGCAGGGATTTTGTCGAGCAGAAGCTAATTTAGAATGCTCTTAAGTGTGTCTCACACTTATAACCGCAGCCAGTCCCGAGTGAGCGAGTGAATGAGCGAGGGAATGATGTGAATTCTAATGACTTTTCTAGAAGGGCAAGAGCTGAAATTTGATCAAAATATAGTCACGTGTGTGTGTATACACTCATAAAATATCTGAGAACCAATGTCTTCGATATTGGCCTTCCTCCAAACATTAGGGAGTGGAAAATATTTTCAATTTTTTTTTGCTATCAACCAAAGCCTAGAAAAGTTTAGCATTCGCATCTTTTCAAGAGTGCCGAATCCAAACACGACACCAAATCTTGAAACCCTTGAACCAAACTTGCAGATTTTTCGCCCCCAATATTGGGGAAAATAATTGTGTCTACGTCTTCACTGTTGAGCCTAGGCCTGCGAAAGTTCGCACGTGAAGATGTTTAAAGGACGCTTAGTGTGCGATGGAATAGTTTCAACATCTCCATTTTTCGACTACGTTTTGGAGGGGTGTTGATGCACAAGCCAATAGAAAGTGGGCAAAGCCTGCTACAAGTTACTAGTTGGAAATAGAATCATGAGTCGTGACACATGATGTATCATCCACAACCATATCATCACATTTCAACCAATCGCATTTCAGTATTATTTGCATGTATGCGTGAACGTACGTGAGCACCGCATGTCTACGCACGTGCGTTACATGTGCATGTGCGTTAGTACGCATATACATAGTTGTGTACAACATGTGTACGTAGCGTGGACGTGGTGAAGCATGTGGTTAATTCACTGCAATTGGAAGGGGGGTTGGTGAATCACGCAGAGATTGCCATGTTATGAGACCTGTCGAAGCTGCCTGGGTAAAAAAATGAATGACATTTTTTATTATGAACCGAATATTCGGTTTCCAAGCCGACACATTACTCTGTATCGCCGGCGTACTGTTTCAATCCATTGTGTTCAACCCAGATTTTTTTGTTTTTTTAAACATCCATATACCGTACAGACATTTGCGAGGGCTAAGGATGTCAATACCAAGGGCTGTAATAATGGGAAAAAGCCTCTACGACATACTGATGATCAGGTTTCATGCATGAAATGCCAAACCCTGTAAAGTTTGGAGCATATCCTGAGCTACCGAGCCACTGACGCGTCCTTCCCTTCGAGTGCTTGCTCGCGAAAATGTGCTGACCTACGGTGGAATTTTCTCCCACTCGAAGCTAAAGTTGGTCGATAATTATTCGCAGCTGGCGAGAGAATGCAGACTAAGTTCTTAACTTTGATTTACAAAATAATCCTAGTGGCATTATTATTTGTTATCCAGCCATGAGGAGGCTGAGACAGAGCACTTTTGACTCCTGATCGGAAGGGCACGAGTTCAACTCCCAGTCCAGGGTTAACTCAGCCCATCATGTCTCTTGTGAAAAAAAATAAAGTGAGTACCACTTCGTGGTGAGTCACCGGTGGTTCTATGGGATATGATGGCTCTGGCATGATAATGTGGAAGTTCCTCCATTGGCTCGGCACCACGAATGCCCCATGCTCATTTGAGCCTCTTTATACACAACACGGTAATGTGTGATCATCATAGCAATGAACCTTTGGATCTCTGCCACAATTGCGAACGCCTTATTCAAGCTCCATGTAATCCGAGGCTCTGTAAACAGGTGATTACATATTTCCGTGACATGATTTGTTGACACTGTTGCTCATTTAGTTATCAAGCACCCTATATTGTTTATCCCGTTCACAGGAAGTCCTGGCGTGGGTTTCGGGTAAATAATTTGTTTTTTTTTGCATCTTGTTCATTTGCACATCCCCACCCAGCTATGCCCTCTCGCTGCCGCCACTGCCGACGTCCTGGGCCGTGGCTGGACCACGCACTCATCGAGGTTTCGGGGAATGTTTGTGCGAATCCATGTTACATACCTCTTGCGCGCATGCAAAATTCTTGACCATAATTTAAGACGAAAGACTGTGGCTTTTGTCGCAGTGTTGGTAACTGCTTATTCGCGAGTGTGTGTGCGGTGCCAATCTCAATGGCTGATTGTTAATAGCGCTTGCCTCGGCAGTCTATACGCCCAAGAGGGGGGACTTTGTGCGTGCGCGTGTGGTGGTGGTGGTGTTGTTATGTGTCCCATTTAACTCGACACACGAGCAGGGGAATTGCTGTTGGCAGGCATCCGCCAAGGCCCTCACGGAGCCTTCGGCAGTGATGTGGCCTGCGACACGCACGCCTGGCACACCTTTGTTCTGCCCACTGGAGATGGTGGCCGATCCCACCACACCAGCTGGTCAGTTTAGGCTTCGTGTTGATCTTATCTTGTCCGAGATTATTCTGGCACCTATGTTTGTCTTCCGAGCAAAGATGCAGAAACTTCGGTCGATTGATACGTGAAGCTTAACCCTTTTTCGTTCCGATGACATGTGTGTATGTACGTATACGTCATCCGTTTTTCTTATGATTCCGTTCCGATTCCGTTCCGATGACGTACGTATATGTAGATGTACGTCATCGAAACGGAACCGGAAGAAAAATAAATTAACGACTGGGCCTCCTTTAGGTTGACTTCGTCTGCAATAAGGGTCTGGTGCAGTGCAGTCGTAAACATCAGCACTAGGCAATGCGTTGGCTATGCACGGTGCGTACACACCACACCCCGGTGTGCGGTGTCACACTTGACAGACGTTCTCTAACGGCGCTTACTGCTCCACTCTACGAGTACAATGCCACGGGATGTTGTTGTTCATGTGTACAATATGTTTACGACGGTGCCTATCGCTAAAATAATCCCTTATTCATCCGAGAAGGCCACGCCGAGTCCACGGACTCTCATAAGCGAGGGTCCTGCTGCCACATTGGGATTTTAGTTTTCAGAGGTTTTCAGCCAATTCATAAATTGTTTATACGAGTGGGAGGAAACCGGAGCACCCGGAGAAGAGCTATCGTTTGCGATAGCCAGGTCACTTCTGAAATAGAGCTATACAGCTCAGTGGGCCTTACCTGGCAAAATAAAATGAAAACGTTTAAACAGTTTAGTTTGGGTCGCAGGGAGCAAACAAACACACAAAGGTCCGTGTCACCATCTCCGTTAAAGCAGAGGTGTCGTACCGCCAAGCCAGCCCGGAGCCTCCAGTCTCTCTGTTCGCTGCAGAAGCCGAGAGAGCCGTGCCGCTGAGCTCACATGCAAAACGACGAACACGATGAACCCCACACCTCCCCGCCTGCTCGCCCCCCCCCCCCCTGCCCCCCAGGATAAAGATTCCAGGCGTCTTGCGGGGACGCCGTGCCACCGTTTGGTTCCGGGCCGGAAAAATATCCAGCGGAAAACCACCAGTACCGCGAAGGAGCCCGCGCTGGCATGGCTCGGATGTGCCAGAGTGGAAAATGTTTTTTGTTGTTGTTGTTGTTGTCATTATAATCAGGGGCGGAGCCAGGGGGGGTGACAGGGGTGACATTCTGCGTGTAAGTGTACGACACTCGGTCTGGCGGACTCCGAGCAACTGCATTGTCAGAGTGTGTCGCCAACCGATGGCGTCTAGTTCAACAGCCTGACTCTCTAATCATTCTTGAAATTAAAATTTGTTGAATGTCACCCCGGCCTGAAATCCTGGCTCCGGCCCTGATAATAATCATAACAACGGCCAAGCTGGACCCATGTCATATCGGAACCGATACGGGCTAACTCTTGTTCCCATAAACCACACGGCCTAACCCCCCTCGGGGTTCCACCACCTCCTTCCGTCCCGCCCCCTACTTCTCCCTTGGCGAGCGTGGATCTGCCGGAAGGGTGGCCGCATGGCTGTGGACGTGAGGAATCCGAAACCCCCTCGCACTGCTCGGGGAGGAGGGGGAGAAGGAGCCTTTGCGGAGGTGAGGAGGAGAAAAGTGGATCGTGAAGTGGAGGGGGTTAGAAACAAATGGGTGATGTGCACTGTTACATGGAGATGGAGAGCGAGAGAAAATGGAGGAGAACAAACACATTAATAAGTTAAAAGAAGAGCAGCAGCAGAAAGGTGACCACTCAACACAGCTTTATTCCAACAGAACCTCAGTGTACAAGAGAAATAAAACATCAACGCACGGCGACATGGTGTTCACAGTTGTTTAGAAATGACAAGACGGCTCAGATTATGTGTTAATCGCAGTGCAGAGAGAGGGGGGGGGAGCATGGAGACTGAGCAGAAACCGTTTGTCAGTCGGAATCTCGCCGGACCTCACTGCAGCACCTTCGACGGCTTAAAGGTCACGACCCCGACCGTGTGGATCGAGGAATCCTACGTCAAATCGCTGTACTCCTCAAATAAAAGTTCACCGAAATTCACCACCGAGTTGCCTCTCAGTGGATGTTACGAACTGAGCTCCGTGATGGTGCCGAGCAGCTACGGAAGGCCGGATATTTCTCCGAGAGAAAAGACGCCCCAAGCAATTGTGCGACCGTCTTTTGACACAATCGGTCGTTTAAAAAAAAAGGGATTTGCATTTTTGTTTTTTTTAAGTTAAAAGACGTAAATTCTCAAACGGAGCTGAACTTGTTAATTTTATTTCCGCGTGCTTTGTTCAAAATGTTTGCGCCGCAGTAGGCTGTGGTGGGTGGCCGCATTGTACGTTGAACTTCTTTCGCGCCGTACGTGGCCAACCGTGCTGATCGGCGGTGCCGGGGAAGGACAGCGAGCGTTATGTTGAGGGCGGCTGGGCTGATGGAAGGCAGTGGCCCTGAAAGAGCCGAGGAAAGTCAAGTCTGAGTGAAGCACGTTCTGCTTCGGAAAGCCGCGGGCATTGCTCATAGCAGCGTTATTTATAGAAAATTTCCAACCCCCGGGAAAGATTCACTGAGTCTCAAAGCTTTTGTTCAGGATAGTCCTAACAGCGTTGGCGTTTGTGTCCAGTGCCGATTACAGGAAAGTTCTCGACTGGCTTATATTCAACAATGTATAGATAAAATATTAAGTTATATTTATTATTTTATTGCAAACGTTGGCCGAATGTGCTATGCACAGCAAAGGACACAAACCGACTCGGGATGATAGCCCATTTGATTTGCCATCACTAAAACCTCTCCGCATTTGAGTTCAGGATTTCGCCACCGGCTCAGCCGTAGCCTTACACCAGCCCAGCGTAAAGCTAACTTCACGAATTTAACTCAAATTTTACAATTACGTAACGATGACGCATTTTGGATCGAGAGAGCATCTGAATGCCACCGTATCTCTACGCGCAGCGGTTGCTGGTAAACAGTCCAATTCGGATAAAATACAAAACTTAGCACCCGCGAGCCACTCAGGTTCATCTTACGGATGGACTGGCTCCCGCCATAGGAATGTGAAAGTTCCACCTTCGGCTCAGGGCCGCCAACGGAGAGAAGCACCGCCCTTGGCCTCTATCTAAAACTAAACTATTTTTTTATTTTATTTTACTTTGTAATGCCCCACTGAGCTATCCGACTTGATGCACCCACCCACGTGGCCTCGGCAGATTCGTCGAGTTTGATATTCTGGGAGCTGAACGAGACGTAGCCACGACCGTGCGAGTGTACCACGCCAGTGCTGCATTAGGATTGGGCGAGTCCGACAAGAGTAACAGAAGCAGCAGCAGCAGCGGTAGAGCAGAAAGGGGGTGGGGGTGGGGGGGGGGGTACGATGCGGTGGGGGGGGGCATTCGAGACGGCCCCCTGCCCCAGCCGTCCCCCCCCCCCCCCCACATCGTCCACCCACAAGTACACGAGCGCGCGAGCGAGCGCGACGGTGCAAGCGACCCACGGGCAGAATTACAAGCATCGTCCGAGCCGGCGTTAGTCGCGGAATCCTCACAAAGACACCAACCGCGCGCAATGCAACGCAACGCTGCGCTCGCCGCGAACGTCACGCGGGCCGCAGGCCAGATGCCTGCGGCACGGCAGCAGCAAATCTCAACAATTCGAGCGGGCGCGAGCGAGCGTGCGTGCGTGCGTGCGGCCGCCGGCGCTACCCGCGATGAACGACATTCTTGTTGGCCCACCGCGGGCCCGAGATGCGACAACCGTGGGCCGAAGGGCGGCTCGGGATGGCTCGCGCCCCCGCGTTCGCGGCCACAAAGCGACGGGCGTGGGAGTGCGATATCCGGTGAGGCGTGCAAGCTGAGCCCGCCGTCAGTTTCTAGCGAAGTGAAACGCCCCGTGCGAAGTCGCCAGCGGTTGTGCCATGAACGTGCGACTGGGAACCTCCCTCCCCGTCATAGCAACGTGGAATTTCCCGTAGCTGATTTCAGGACAGGCAATGAAGATGAGCACCATGTACACGGCATCCAGTGGTGTACATACACAGTACCGTATACTGTAAAAGCAAGTGAAACAAACCTGCTAGAGCATACACACTGTGTATGTGCACAGTGTGTATGTGCTCCACTGACATACATACACACTGTGTATGCGCTCCACTGACATACATACACACGTGCATATCCTGTACGCATAAAAGATAGTTTCAAAAAGGTGTTGCGCCAAGTCTTCAAATCTTAAAATAATAAAATTCCACGTCATGAAAGATCCACTAATGAAATTTCAAGGATCTACATCACACAGGATCTAAAAAAAAAAACCTTTTTGTAAAATCCCAAAGCGAGCAATATATTCCTCAACAATGACGATTGCCCAATGGATAATCCAGCTTAAACCACGGGAATGTGGAATTTCCACGGCTTGCTCAGGGTCTCTGACAGAGAAGAGCCACGTGCTCACGCGAGCAGATCCCATTATCCACGGGGGTCACCCGCGGACTTTACTCCTCTTATCCACGGGCAAACATTCGTGGGAAATAGGCGTCGCAGCTAATAGGACCGTGGGTTCACAGACTATCCCACTTTATAATGAGAGGAATGCCGGTTTCATTGACTCAGCACCGACGAGAGACGCCTTAATCGAGCGGGGCTCCCCGAGCCGAATTCCACATTCACATGGCGGGAGCCAGGACCTCCGGAAGTTCACCACTTTCGGTTTTGCCCACAAAGAGGATTCTCTCGCGTGATTGTGAGAACGATCACTTGTTTCTGAACCTTGGGGAAACTGTGAACACTGTGAACAGTTTCCCCAAACCACAGCACTGTCCAAGGAGTTAAATAGCTGCATAATATCTAAGTGTTAATTTAACAAAACAAAGTAACTTTATTTACGAAGGAAGAACCCGAGTCTCAGAGGAGGCTCCTGCATTGGGATGTTTGGCCAATTCTTGAATTTGTATCGCATAATAAAGGCACGTGGAGTGCCGAGAGAAAATCCGCACACACGAGGGAAGAGCGTTCGTACGACGCACCAACGGGACACTGCCTCCGAGAGTCACCTCTCGTCTTCCTGCAGGTAAAAGTCTCACACGAGCGACGATTCCATCTCTGTGTGATCCACCAACCCCCCCCCCCCCCCCCAAATTCCAGTCACTGGGCTGTAGGCATTGTGCCACCACGTTATAAATATGGAAATGCTGCACGAGGCCACACGTTTAAAACACCTGTCACGTTTAAAGTTTGACAACGCAGCGTGTGGGTGTTGAAAAGTAATGGCGCTTGGAACACGCGCTCTTACAACTGATACCCCGATTTTTTTCTACACGTGGAGATAAACACATGCTCACGTATGCAATGGCGGAGCCAGGATTTTCAGGTAGGGGGGGGCAGGTAGGGGGGGGGAGTTGTTAGTAAGTAAGGAGTTGTTAGTAAGTTAAGGACTTGTCCCTTGCTATTTATTTGACGCGTGTGCGGCGATGGCGGAGCCATCGATCGAGGGTCGATTTCGAACCGCGTTGTGTGATCGGCATCGCGCTCACTGAAGGTGTTGATGCCTTCAGGGAAGTCGTGGACTCTGTATACGCAACTGCGCACAATTATGTGAGTCACTTATATCTGCTTTGCCGTTACTTATTGCCAATTATGGACTCAGACTATTGTCCTATCATCTCATAGAGTCCCTCGCACGTAATAATATCCTACACAGTGGCAGTGGGGGTCGCAAAATGCCGATTTATTACTATCATCCGATCGAAATTAGGGATTTCGATCGGATCATTGGGTGGGCACGTGCCACCCCCCCCCCCCTACTGGCTCTGCCAGTGCACGTATGTACATATGGTCAATATAGGTGTACATACATGTATGCACACGTGTGCACGCATGTAACCGCACACGGTGTTGAGCACAGAGAGGATACAAGGTGCTGGCATGATATTACAAGCCCAATATTGTTTTTCACTCATCCTGCACACAAGTGTATACAGGCAGATGCTGTGCAAGTGTCTACACGTATTCTTGTGTACACACATGTGTGTACTTTATGCATATACACCCCGTGTATACACGTACACGTATGTAGAAATGTGTGTACGTTGTAATACGCGATGTCAAATAAAACGGGAGTCGAAAAATGGCGGCCAACCACACAAAATGGCGAATTCCAATGTGGCAGCAGG